ATTAAAGGCTGACGGCAGAGCAAAGGGTAGAACCGCCTCTTTCTGCAGCACCAGTTTATCTGGTGGAAGTGCCTTTGGACCTGTGGAGTGAGTACTGTTGAAAGTTAGCCTTACTGTCTTGGTTATAGTGTAGTAATTATCATCTCATGAGCGTGACTGAAATAACGGTGTCTACACGTGACACCTCCAGGAGACACCTGCGTGGCTTTGGTGTTTGCTGCAAAGCTCTGACTGCAGATTGTCTCTGAGAGGGAAAATGCGTCCCAGTGGTGACGGCTGTTGCAAGTGCAGGGTAGAGTAGGCCACTAAGTTTGTCCTCGGCTGAATACCTACAGGTCTTATGGTCAGTGGTTTTCTTCACTGGGTTTTCAGGTTGCTCTGCAATGTTAGACTTGGTTTTCTGTGCCTGTGGCCAGCTGATCACCTCATAACTATATGTTGCAGCTGAAGGTTGCCCACCACCTGCTGTTTGTTGGTGTCCTTGCAAATCGTTATCATTGCCCACCACAGTACGAGTTACTTCTCCCTTCCTCTAGCCTCCTTCCCCCAGTCTGCTCTGTTGTTTTTGGTACCTTTGCTAACTTGCATGTCTCAAGCTGGCCGCATGTGTTCTTATTCCTTCTAAAGGCATTTCCATGCTATAACCTTTTACTTGAACAAGGAGTGTGACATGCTTTGTGTTTGGTTTTTTGTTTCTTTCATTGTCACTTTGCACTTCATCTATAAATTATTGACGGAACGTGGGTATCATGGCTAGATACAAGTTTCTCAGTCAAACCAATAGTTCCCACCTTATTTTTTCACTCTACTATCAAAAGATTTATGCCTTTGGTTTTGTGTATTAGAAATGTTCACATTATCAGGTTTTTATGTAACTGTTGAGAAACCACAAATTATTATCTGAGATAGACCAGTTTGATTTTCCAAGCTATTATGGAAGAAGTCCAGTTCCAGTAAAGTATTTTTCTTGGGTCTTGAAATGATTACTAGGAGCCAAATGTCAAGAACAAGCCTGAATCAGTATTTATTGACCACAGCTGGTGATCTATCAAGCACCTACTGCTAGTGTTCAAAGCCAATTGGGATGAGGGACTTGTACTGTTGTGTTAGTGTAAGAAGAATGGATCTAATGGATCAAGGACCTTTCAGTGGTCTTTCTTTAAGAAATCTGCCTGGTGCCTGCCCTGAGAAAAAGGGTGTTGTGCTTCATCAGAGTAGTAATAATTCAAAAGGCTGTGTAGCTCTTTGGTACAGCAAGTATGAACTGACCTATTTGCAATACCAAAAGCGAGTGACCGTGTCTTTTGGCAAGTTAATACTCTAGCAGTTAATGCGGTGATAATGTATAGGCTTTCAGCATGATCTAATCAGGTCTTGATATTTTCATCTGTATACAAAAAGGTAATGTAAGGCCGTGATGAATGATTATAGGGTGCCCAGATAAGGTTTTATAGATAAAAGGATAGAAAATTCTTGTCCAATCTAGCGATCGGGTAATGATTCACAGAGTTGACATGAGTAGACTTCAAAAAAGATTCCTCTCTTGCGGGCGTAGCGACAGCTCTGTGTTTCCCCCTCCTCTCTCAGCGCAGCAATGAGGACTGGGAGGGCTCCGCTTGACAGCGAGGGTTTGTTTCTTTGCTAAAGCACAGGCCATCTGTAGCACAGCGTTTGCATCCCAATAGCTGCAATTAGAATAAAAGTGCATGTAGGAGGGGGAGATAATTATTTATGTGTGATTGGAACTGGCCTCGTATAATGGTAGAGGTGTTACGCATATACTTTCTTTCATCAGTTGCTAATGAGAATATCGTAGGAATTTGGTAGAAATTAATATTTCTTCCCAATTGAAAAGTTGTGGATTTTTTTTTTGCTAAGTGAGCATAGTCTCTGTGGTCTATTTTCCACTTCCAGCACAGAGCATTTATGATTTCCACTGGCAGGGTGTGATACTAGTTAAAACTAGGAACGATGTAGAGGGATTAAACCACAGGGTAACTGGGACAGAGAGGCACCCTAGCATCTTCCAGGGTTCAGAGCTGCACAGGGAAAATCTGGATTCTTGGGAAAAGGTAGTTGTTCTGCATTTCTCATCTTTCTTACTGCCTTTTCATTGTCTTGAGGGAAACCTGAAAGAAATCCACTGGAGAATCCGTGGGAACACAGCAGAAACAGCCAGGGAATTTTCTGCAATTCTGCTGTTTCCCACAATTCTGACATGACTTTCTCTTTTTGGTCTTCCTTGACTTTTATTCCCTCCAGCCCTCTTCCTATCTCCTGTCTTCCCATCGAATTCACATTTGATATGTATACCTCCTATATTTTCCTGCTGCCATATTAAGCCATAAATATTGTGTGTCCAACTCCAATATACATCCATGGAAATCGATAGTATCTATTGAGTACCTTAATGCCTCCATAGATTCCTGTCTGCTCACTCTCTAAATCAGAGTGAGACTGAAGTAACCAGACACAGAAGCTGTTGGATGAAGGACCTACGCAGCTTCTTCCCTATCATGGTCACATGGCTGTAGGCTTTATCAGCCCTGTATAGATGGCAGGGAGGTGAGAGATGATGATATGGCAATCATTTTCATAGCCCTTTTTCTCCACCCTTCCCTTTCCTCCTAGCGACTCCTTGCAATGTTCCAGGTGAGGGGGAATCAGCCATGTTAACGTGGCTGAGAGAGCATGGAGTGTGCATGGTGATACTCTGTAGGCTTGGTTTCTATAATCTCGTAGTCCGCTGAGGTCAAAGTGCAATTTCTCTACCAAGAAAGTTTAAATAGAAGTATGAAATGTTGTTAGAAGGACAAGAGTGTTGTTACAAAGTAGTAACAATTACTGATATGTAAGCAAGGTGGCTTCCTGCATTCCAGTGGTCTCAGCTTGCTCTGGGTTTTGTTCTTCCACTGTTACTTAGTTTAAGTTGCGCTGCTTGTCCTGACTGAGGCTTCGGAGGCTGCAAGCCCTGCAGGCAGGGGAGCTCTGGCCCTCAGGGCAGGCACATTTTGACTATGCGCACAAGCACACAAATATAGTTTGATTATACTTCGTCAGATCATGTGTCATTAATAAAAATGAGATTGTTCTCCTTTCACTGTAAACATGCAATATGTTTGTGGGCCCAAAAGCAGACTCTGTGGACGCTCTAATGCTAATGAACCTGCAATAGAAGAGGATGTTGGCTGGGCTTTCTAAGCTGAGAAACCCAACTACCTCCCCATAGCAAGCAGGGTTGGAGGATGTGCTTTGCATCTAGGAATTGGACTCGATAGGCTTTTAAATGAGTTCCACATCTGTATTTTCCCGTGTTCTTCTGTATCTTGGTAGGAAAGCTGCTGCTGAGAGCTGCAGTGCGTGAGGATCCTGTGATGGTGATTAGAGAATATGTTCCTTGTGTGTCCTTCCTCTGCCCTGTCCCTTGGGAGTAGATTGTTTACATTGCTAGAAATTGTTAATGCAGTTAAACTATCTTCCAGCATGCAAACCTATGTCATTCCACTCTGTTAGTGTCCCTTGGCTAAAAATGAACGCTTTGATGTAATTGTATTTGAGTTGCCTTATGATTTATTAACAATTCCACTAAAATGCCATGGATGTCTGCTACAGTGAGGGAGTTATGCAATCCACAGTAGAAAAGATGTGAGGTTTCGCAAAAGAAAGCTTTAAATGATCTTTCTTTTTCTCCTCCCCCTCCCCCCGCCTTCTTTTTTTTGTCTTTTGGATTCCCCTTTGTAAAAAATGAATCAAATTCATCCCGGTGTGACACTGTAGGAGCTTGGGTAGGACTTCAGGGTTGTACAGGTTGTTGCATTTCTTAAACACGTAATAAAAAAAATTCCTGGTCCATAAACTGCAATAACCTGTTTGCTGTTAACACAGAGTAGCATCTTCATAGCTACAGCTTGAAGAATACACCCGTTTTTAAGAACAGTGGTGTAAGCTTACTTGAGAGCTCAGCTCCAGCGCTGCCAAAAGAAATCACAGCTTCTGTTGCGTTTGGCTCTCTGCCACTGTTGCTGTCCCTGAATCGGTGTCCCCGAGTTAGAGCAGGATGGTCAAATCGCAATGACAAGAAGCTTGTGAATTGATTTAGTTCTTACACAGTTGATTACACACGCTAATGAATTGATTTTGTGCATTAAAAACATATATTAATTTTTTTCTAGTATAATGTGTTATGGAAAACCCTGGGAATTGTTTTTCGAGCATTTGACATCTTATTTTGTAAATTATCTCTCTAGAGGGCTTAAGGTTGGGCCTTTTGATTTTCTACGTGTGTTCCATGCCAATTCAGCAGAAACATTGCTTCAGTCTTGGTTGTATGGGGGGTTTTAAGAGCAAAATCTTTATTGTGTGTGCAATTACTCTAACAAATGTTCATGACATCCTGTGCAAGAAGCAGCAGCAACATACTGCACAACTGGAGGATATAGTGATTAATTAGCAACAATATATTTTAAAAGATGGTGAGTTTTTAAGTTAATTCATAACTATTACTTAATGCTGAGTAAATTGTCCCTAAAGAGATGCTGCTCTTTTTTAAAAAAATTAATTGTGCATAGCTATTAAGCATAACATTTTTGTAGAAGTCATTAAAAAGTTGCTCAGGTCGTGCTTCACAGCTTAGGCTCGTATCCAGTGTTGTCACTCCGTGCTTCACTGCTAGTGAGTCCGTATTTTGGATCAGATATTAAAGGTACCATCTGGCCATCCATGGAGAAAGTAAAAGAGTTATGACCCTATCTTAAAAACAAAACAACCACCTTCCCCCTCCCCGAATAGAATGGGTGTCCTAGAAAACGTGTTCTCTTTCACTGAAATGGCTCCCATTGCATGTAAAAGCTGGTCTTTAAAATACTTTGGTCCTTGCTTTTGCCTGTCTGTTCAGTTGTGGTCCTCAGAAGTAGCTTGTGATTTTGTAAAGTCTTTGAGTTGAGGATGTAAAGTAAAATAAGATTTTATACTGAGTGTTTTTCTGTTATGTTTTTCTTTAGATACTTCAAGAAGTGTAAAGGCATCTCCAGAAACAGCTGAAATCTTTTTTCAGAAATTAAGAAATAAATATGAATTCACAATCCTGGTGACCTTAAAACAAGCCCACTTGAATTCGGGGGTTATTTTCTCTATTCATCATTTAGATCACAGGTAAGTACTGCTACCTGTATGCTAGTTAATGAAAGTGGATGTATTTATGCAGTCGAATTTTGGGCATAAATTAGGGCAAAATTGTTGTGTAGCAGGTAATTTACAAATATATATAGTGTTTGGGTAGGCATATTGTACAGATTCATAAAAGATGAGATTGGCCCAGGGAAAGTGGAACAGCTGTTACTCTTTAAATGTCTCTTGCCGTGAAGGGCACGAAAAGCCAGTTCTGTCTTGTCGTTCGTAACCATAAGGACCAGATGCTCTGCTGGTGTAAAACGATCATGCCAATACAGCTACACTGATCCAAAAAGCCTGGCCCTCTATGTCCACCTCTTCACCAGTTGTTTTTTAACATTGCAAGCAGTTTAAAAAAAGCAAAAAAATCCTCCAGTTACGGGCTTACACCTCCCATGAATGGCAGAGCACTTGACTCAAAATGTTGTCAGCCTTAAAAAACTAAAGTGAATGACACTGAGCATTTAAGGATTATTCCTTTGGTTGGCTAATGACTGCTAGAGAAGTAAGATATTCTTTATATATCTGTCTGGGTAATGGTTCTTAAAGATAACTGCCCTATGATTCTGTGACAGAATAAAAAGGAGTTTTATAATGCACTTTCTAAACAGTCATTAGCACAAGCAACAGATGATCTCTGCTTTAGGTTCGTAGTCCTTTTTATTTTCCTGTGTACAAACCTGTAGCTCTTTCTTGATAGTCTCACTAGAAAATAAGGGAAAAAAAAAGGAAGAAAAGGTAAAGAGAGATGTTCAGGCAGAGCAAAGTATCTGTTTCTTTTTCACAAGTGTATAAGTTTTCATTAGCAGGCATGGCATCGATTATTTTCTGCTGGAAGATGGTCCAATTCTACTTTTATTCTATTTCCCAGAGGCCCCATATTCTGCATTTCACCTATTAAAAAACCAAACAGCCAACCAAACAACCCCAAGAAGAAGAAAAAAAAGGGAAAACGTTCCCGAGGATCATCATACCAAATTTATAAAAGCATCTTTAAATGTTGCAAGGGGGTGTTTGAATGCCTTCTGGATGATGTTTACTGATGTTATATCATAGAAGAGCCAAGGGGCTTCTCTGTTAGCTGCTGCCTACTTCTCCTCTGCAGGAGCGAGAACTGTGCAAGGGGCAGAACTGGGCAGCTGTGATTGCTGAGGTTTGAACTCAGACTGTACCACCATATGTGCAAAGCATCCCAGATGGAACGGTTTATTCTGTCTTGAATGAGAGAGTAGGTCTGCAGGGCCAGCTGTGCCCTGACAAAGCTTGTTTCTACATTCGTAGGAAGAACATGGTTTGGTTGGTCTACTGATAGGGCTAACACAATTATATTTGAAATTTCAAAACGAGAGATGAAACCTTCATGTGCCAAAATAGTTGCAGAGGTGGGCAAAGAGGTCACCAATGTGAAACACTCTGGAAAAGAGAATAACCATAGCCTTTCTGAAAGGAAGCAATGTTTGGTAGAAAACCTTTCCTGGCCTCAGGAATGGCATGAAGAAAGAGACATGCCACGGAAGAGCAAAGAAATGTCTAGTGTACAACTGAGCACAACTCGACAAACATTAACTTGGGAATGGCCAACTGGGAGAAAACACTGCCACTAGTGAGGATAAATAGTGATAAAATTAAAATATAATGTGTAATGAACTTTCATTGAAGGCTTGCAAAAGAATTTGAGATATTGTTTGGGAAAATAAATAATTCTTGGAGTGAGTTGGTCTTAGGGGCACAAGAGTGCATTAAATTGATTCTATCCAGCCATAGCAAAGAAAAGGAAAGGTTAGAGCAGTGCTGGTGTCCGGGTGTCCGGCACGGCTGTACAAACATAAAGCTACTTATCTCACCTGAATCTGGTTCATCCATGTCAGCTGCTTGTGCCCATATAAAATATGGTTGTAAAAAGGTGACAAACAGAACTCTGAAAATCCTATTATTTTATACTGGTATGTATTTAGGGTTGGGTGATTAGATTTTTGTTGATATATTGATAACATCTATACTTTTTCAGGCAATGTCTCTCATACCTTAAATATTTTCAGTTTTTATTGTTACATTTTCACCATTTGCTGTTTATCTGCATGTCGGAATCTGACCTGTCTAACTGCAATGGAAACCATTTGTCAAGGTTTCTAGCAGAAATCAGGTGGTCTGCATTATGTGTGTAGGTATTTTAACTGTGGATGCATAACTTAATGGCACTGCTGAGTGTTTTTGAGGCCCTTTTTCTCTTAACCGTGGAAGCTTTTAACACTCTTGTTCTAACGTCATAATGTTAGAGGTATGAAAAGTGATCATAATACCCAGTTCATGCCTTACTGAAAAAAAACTTCTACCACCATTTTAGCCAGTGTGATCTCTTTATCTTACTATGTCCTCTTAAGTGATGCCTAGTGTTTACAATTTTTCTGTAGGGTTGTATGCTTTATGTTTGATTTGGGGGTCTCCTTGTAAGCCTTTGGATAATACAAGAGGAAGGAAAAAAGCCTTCTAGGATGTTCAGGCAAATAGAGTCACTCATCAGGTCAGCTTTGGATGAAGTGGCTAAAGAACAATCCACTTGTGAATATTTCATCAATTTCTTTGGGAGAATATTAGTTAATATATTTAAAAAGAAGCTTGAAGAATTTTTTAAAAAAATGCTAGGCCTAATCTGATCCCCTTACAATCAGGGAAAATCTTTGTTGCCTTCAGCTGGTGTAAAATCAGTCTCAACAAAAGTAGGGCCAGAAAGAACTTGTGGCTATTAAGTTGTGTGCCCTTAAGCTTTTAATAAACACATTCTGGTCTATTCTGTGCAAGGATGTACAGAAGGATGTCAGTGTGCCATAGTAGTGTTTGTTCAATTTAATTGTGCTAAAATTAGGGCTGACTTAGGTGTGGATAATAATTGGAATTAGGCTAGCATCTCTGAGTCTCCTGTAGTATCTCTTATGATTTTCATTTTCTTTTATGATGAACAACAATAAAGACAAGAGAATGTAGAGGTTAAAAGGAAGCATTTGGATGGGTTACATCAAATAACTGCCTCTTCAGTGCTGGATTTCCATCTCTCTGACCTTGCCCACTTCTGACCGGGGGCTTGTCTGTAAGAGTCCTTTAGTTCTTAAACAACTTCTTGTGAACTCTCTGTCACAGCAGTCATCATAGTTGGTAGCACAAGTACCAACGCCAGACCTGACTCCCCTTCTTTGCACCAGCTTTAGCTTTGGATAGCTCCTCGGGTGTCAAAAAAGTTGTGCTAGTATTGAACTGCTGGCTTGTGGGATAGAATCACACCTGGCGACATTCTTAATTTACAGAAGTCGGTGCTAGCTCTTACTTTTCTGCAGTGAGGAGTGGAATTGTGGTGAGGAAGGCAAGAGGTGGCAGTAACTGAAGGATATAACCAGTCATCACATAAGTAACTTTTGATATGTTTTATTTTACAGAGGTTTCATAACAACTAGTGGCACTAGGGTAAAAGAATTTCTAGGGTACAAGAAAATCGAAAAGTTTGTTTAAAAAGTGGAAAAAGGTATGTTCATTTATTCAGTGGCTTGGGAAATATTTTATGTGTTTTTGAAAATAAATCAGAGTAAAAACTCATCCTCTCTTTGCATAGGTCTAGGGACTTTGGTGCAAATATGCTAATTTACAACAATTGAGGAAATTTCCTAAATTTCAGTTACTTTTTTAATTTTATGATTTTCTTTAAAACTGTATACTTAAAATAGTTCACATGATTCAGAGTTCACAGGTTCAGTCTGTGTTGTCTAGTTTTATGGGGTTTTTTTTGTTCTTTCTTGCTGGTTAACATAAAAAATGAATACTTCCACTGAGATACAGTCATGCAACTACTTAAGGCTTTGGGTCTTATGAAGCTGACAGGACTGCTCTCCCAAAGTTTCCCCTCTAACATCACATGGTGAATGCTGTCCCTGGGCCATCAGATAGATGCAGGAGTTCTGCAGGGAAATCTGAGGCTTGGGCATTTGCTGAGGCTGGGCTGTTGCTGTCACCACAAAAAGTAGCCCCTGAAAGGATTTTCTGCAGGTATATTCATCTTTTTCTACTCTATTAAATGCTTTTATTTTTCTTTTCCTTGTTGAGTCTTCCCTTTTTGTAATTATTATGCTTTTCTCTAGTATTTAATATATTCCAATCTTTTAAAACTGATCTTAAAGTGAAAGAATATGAAATGATACTTGTAACTATCCCTTTCTAATTTTCTCATATTCTTCCATGGAGGTGGCTTTTTTCCCCACTGAGTAGAGCAGCCGAGGAGTTGAGGCGGTGGTAGTTTTGGGTACAGCTTGGAAGTGATACTTCCAAGAAAACTCTTTTGGTGTCAGGGAATCCAAATTGCACATCAGTAATCGTTCAGATGAGTTTCAGGCAGCTGAATACAGATTTATGCATGGCATATATCTGAAAGGTAGAAGTTGCAAATGCTTTCTTAACTTAAGAGGATCACCTTGACCACAGAGTGCCCTGCCTAAAATGCATTGTACTTTACAATAATAAGGTAAATATTTTGAGTGGTGTTAATGAAGTGATGCCTTAAGTCCGAGTGGAAGCACTGTTAAACACTGATTGCTGTGTGCTTTCTCTCAGCCTTCAGTTTAAACTGTATTGTCCTCCTCATTTCACTTCTGAATTTGTCTCAGCTTCTGCTTGATGGAATAATCAGCAGAGAGATGATTTTAATCTGCGACCGGGTTGTAATATATGTTAGGTCTCACTATTCCATCATATATTTTCATTTAATTGGCAACAGTGGAGTGATGTAATAAAGCTTTTTCCTCCTTCATGGTTAGATGGCTTTATGCAACTAATGTTATATTCATATCTCTTGAGATACTGCGTGTCAGGGCCCTTAAGGGATGAAATCACTGGATTGTAGTTTAACCATTCTTTCCTTCAGTTAATGCTTTTTCTATCCTGAAACGGAGCACTGAAATCAATAGAAAAAAGTGGACCGGCATTCCC